CATACATACATACATACATACATACATACATACATACATACATACATATACATACATACATACATACATACATACATACATACATACATACATACATACATACATACATACATACATACATACATACATACATACATACATACATACATACATACATACATACATACATACATACATACATACATACATACATACATACATACATACATACATACATACATACATACATACATACATACATACATACATACATACATACATACATACATACATACATACATACATACATACATACATACATACATACATACATACATACATACATACATACATACATACATACATACATACATACATACATACATATACATACATACATACATACATACATACATACATACATACATACATACATACATACATACATACATACATACATACATACATACATACACATGCATACATACATACATACATACATACATACATACATACATACATACATACATACATACATACATACATACATACATACATACATACATACATACATACATACATACATACATACATACATACATACATACATACATACATACATACATACATACATACATACATACATACATACATACATACATACATACATACATACATACATACATACATACATACATACATACATACATACATACATACATACATACATACATACATACATACATACATACATACATACATACATACATACATACATACATACATACATACATACATACATACATACATACATACATACATACATGCATGCATGCATGCATGCATGCATGCATGCATGCATGCATGCATGCATGCATACATATATTTTGCATCAAACATTTATCATGGTGTATATTAAAGACATTTTTCTCCTCACTTGAGGACAAATTCAATAAAAAAATCAAATAAATTTCATTTTTAACATCGAAGATAGTCAGTCAAAATGCATCATTTTGATCTCTCAGGAAATCAAAGCTCGAAAATGACCAGATGTCTTTAACTTGAAGAAACAATGACATCCACAGATGTGACTTCCTGAAGTTAACAATTAAGACATTTCCTCCATCAGCAGGAACAAAAAGATTATCAGTATCTTTCGATGTTGTTTCTCTCGAAACAAAATGTTGTCTCGCTAGAGACAGCTTCTTTTGAAAAACAAATCTTGTCTCGCTTGAGATAGTTTTCTAAAATCAAATATTGTCTCGTTTGAGACAATTTCTTGAAAAACAAATTTCGTCTCGCTTGAGACATTTTTCCTTTGAAATAAAAATTTCGAATTTGTTTCACATTAAACAAAGTTGATCTCACTTGAGATCGTTTTCTCATAAACAAATTTTGTCTCGCTTGAGACAATTTCTCTAAAAACAAATTTTGTCTCACTTGAGACAATTTCCTTAAAAACAAATTTTGTCTCGTTTGAGACAATTTCAAAACAAATTTCGTCTCACTTGAGACATTTTCCCTCATAATACAAATTTCAAAGTTGTTGTACTTAAAACAAAATTAATATCACTTGGGATTTTCAAAGTTGATTCGTCTCGCACGAGACAGTTTCCCATTTAAACACAAATCCTGAAATTGTTTCCTTTGAAACAAAATAAACACCTTTGAGATTGTTTCCCTAGAAACAAAATCGACAAACTTTGAATCTTTTTTTCTTAAAACGATTTTTGTCTCTCTGAGATAGTTTCTCTTGAAACAAATCTTTGAGTCTGTTCCTTTTGAGTAAAAATCTTTGAGTTGTTTCTTTTGAAATAAAGTTTTGTCTCTCTTAAGACAATTTAGTGAAAAATCTTTGAGTCTGTTTCTTTTGAAACAAAGTTTTGTCTCTTGAGACAATTTCGTGAAAAAATCTTTGAGTCGTTTCTTTTGAAAAAATCTTTGAGTCGTTTCTTTTGAAAAAAAAAATTTGTCTCTCTTGAGAGAATTTCTTTTGAGAAAAAAATCTTTGAGCCTGTTTCTCTTAAAACAATTTTTGTCTCTCTTGAGACAGTTTCTTTTGAAATAAATCTTTGAGTATGTTCTTTTAAAAAAAAACCTTTGAGTTTGTTTCTCTTAATAAAATCATCTTTGAGTCTATTTCTTCAAAAACAAATTTTGTCTCTCTTGAGACAGTTTCTAATGAAAAATCAACCTTTGAGTTTGTTTATTTGAAAACAAATTTTGTCTCTCTTGAGATAATTTTTAATGGGCAGCCTAGATTACAAGCCCAAGACCTAGTCTACCCAGCCCACTCAGACAGGCCCAAACAAAGGACCCAACTCAGCTAGGGTTTCACCCTATTCTCCCTAGCCGTCTTTAACACCAGCCGTTAGATCTGGAGGAAGATCAACGACCCATAAGCAACCCAGATTAGGGTTTCAACCCTAAGCATATCATCCAGTAGCCGCCGCCGCTTCAACTCTTCAACTTCCTAGCCGTGAGCCGATCACCGAGCCTTCGCCGAGTTCCCGAGCCACCAAGCCGAGCCTCCCTTCCGATCATCTCTGTCGACGTTATCACCAACAGTGACCGAGACCACATCAGTCATGCAAATCAAAGAGAAAACCCGATTAAAAAATCAAATAAAATCATGCAAGTACACAAGAAATCTCGAGGAATCAGAAGAGTCTATCTATCAGTCAATCCATCACAAAATCAGCAAAGAAGATATCACCAATGATACATGCAAAGATAAAAAGACAGAGAGGGAAATATCAGGGGACCATTCGGTTTTCCAGTGAAAATAGGAAAGAAGAAATACCAGAGGAAGCATTTTGAACAAAACAAAGAAAATATAGAGGTGAGAGGTGGAGATTTTACCTTTCTTGGGTCTTCGTCGGAGTCACTAATCGGTGGGTCTCGGTTGGGGTTGTTTCGTGACCTAGGGAGGTGGTTGTAGGGCTCTTCGAGCCTTATGAGGCTCGATTGAACCATGGGTAACATAGGGTAAGGAGAACTTTGGGGGTTTGTCTGCTCCCTATGGCCACCGTTATACGGTGGCCAGGGAGCCTCTGGGTGCTCTGTTCTTCAGCGACGAGGAGGCAGGAGATGAGATAAAGGGAGAAGAAAAGAGTTTGAGCGGTTGAGAGGGGAACATAATGAGGGATTTAGGGTTTCATATCCCTAAATATGATTTATAACCACATTACTGAACGTCGCCGTTTTGCCAATGGAGGGTCTGCGTGTTTTGCTAAAAGGGGTAAATCACAGTTTAGGTCCCCCTTTCTTTTGTAACGTTTCGTTTAAGCCATTAAATGAATTTTATTTCATTTTGATTTGAGCGTTCATGTTCATGTACTTATATTTTAGTCCTGTTGTTGCCTATTATGCCATTAATGTAAATATTTGACTTTGACCTCAATTTTTTAAATAATTTAATTTAGTCATTGATGTTATGTGTTTTGAATTTTCTTTGTTATTTAATTTTTGTCATGGAATTTGTAAATATTTCATTTCAGTCATTGTTGACATTCGGTTTAATTATGTTTCAGCCTTCCATGTTCCTGTTTTATTTTATTTTAGTTATATGTTATTTACGGGTTATTTCCATTTTTAGTACCTGTATTATTTAATGCTTGTAATTTTGGGCTCCAATTTATTTGTAATTACTGTTGTAGTTCCTAAGTTTCTATTTGTTTCATTTTAGTCCTAAATTCATGTTTATGCTAATTCAGTCCTTTAATGTTATGTTTTGCTCTTTTAGCCCTGAAGTTTCTATTTTATATATTTTAGCCCCTAAAGTTTTTTTTTACTCTTAAATTTATGTTTTTATTGTTTTAACCATTTAAGTTTATGTTTTTACCATTTTTGCCCCTTAAGTCTTGTTTATACTATTTTGGATATTTGATTTTATATTTTTGCTATTTTGGTCTTTATAATTTCAAGTACTTACCTTTTTGCTCATTTTATTTCAGTTTGTAATATTTGTTAGTTTTCATTTTAGTCCCTAATGTATGTGTATTATGTTAATTTTACTTTTCATATTTATACATGTATATGTTGTTTATTACGATATGTTTATTTATTAATTAAATTTTAGTTGGTGCCCTTTGATTATTTTTAAGAACATTTGTCATAGAATAGGTGTAAAAAGTACCCCTTACAGAGGAGGTGCGATTCAATACACCATTCGAATGAAAGGAAAATTTGAGATAAATCAATTTCTATTTTACTACTTAATTTGTTTATATTATGATTCAAATGATGCAATGAGTATTGTTGTAAATATAAATTTGTTTTATTTCATATAAACTGTTTATATTTAGTTTATATTCTATTTTTTTTATCGATGAGGGAATATTTTTTACGAATAAGAAATAGACGAGATAGCTTTCCCGACGGAGGATTGCTAATCTCGAAGTTTCTTTTCAAGTTAAAGAATTTTCTCTAATTAATTATTTCGAAGCAAATTAATTAATTTCGATAAATGAATCATATTTTAATTGTCGATGTGAATTCATTATTTCCACCATTTACGACAACGTGTAAGCGACGCAATACTGATTTTGGGCGCTGTGGGGTTGCTAATCCTTCCCCACGCGTAACCGACTCCTGAACCCGTTTAAATCGAATCTTTGGTAAACGCAGACCAGTTTTCGTCGTAAAAATGATTTTTCTTAAAATTGTTTTAAAAAACGTTTTTAGGTATTCAACCTACCTAACCTAAAGGTCGATGGCGACTCATATTCCTTTAATCCAAATTCCTCAAATTTTCCAAATTAAAGTCATAATCGTTTTAAAATAATAATTTAATTGTTTTATTAAAAAATGGTTATGACAGAGGGATTAAAATTAAATGAATCGATAATGTTAGAGACTAAAATTGAACGAATCAATAATATTAGAAACTATTTATCTTTAATTTTTAAATTAGTGACCGCAATCGGTCAAATAAAAAATAAATGGACTATTCGCATAGTTTACCCTTATTTATTTTATCCTATTTTTTATGGGATGCATGTACGTGAACCGTTGATAGACAGGGAGTTTTAACTTTTAAGATCGCCTCCATCACCCTTACCCTGCAAGGAAAAAAAAGCAAAGAAAAAAACCCTTCGATTTTGAACATGTTCAAGAACACTTTTCAATCTGGGTTCCTTTCAATCTTATACAGCCTAGGGTTTGCTTTTAATCTTTCAATTTCTCCTTACGATGAACTAATATTTCCCATTCCGAGTATTATTTGTTCATCTCTGTGCTTTTTTTGGCCTTTTACAGGAGCAAACCTCTTCAGATCTGGGATAAAGAAGGTCAGTAAAATTATATATAAAGGAAACCTTTTACCTCACCATTAAATTACATGGTTTTTAAGTTTTAGCTGATTCTTTTTGTAGGTTGATTTTACTTTAGCTGCTTTTGTTAGTTTAATTTTACAATTTTAACCTATCGGGGATTGTTTTACAGTTGAAAACGGGCATGTTAAACGAACTCATGATGACGACATTCAATCGAATGTATTGGAAATAATTGGATCAAATATTCAATCCACTTTTATCACTTGCCCAGCTGACCCTTCTGCAACGCTTGGTATCAAACTTCCATTCTTGGTTATGATTGTTAAGAACTTGAAGAAATATTTTTCTGTGGAGATTCAAGTTCTCGATGATAAGAACGTCCGACGTCGTTTCCGTGCTTCTAACTTTCAAGTATGTCTGTTAATTTTTCTTGTACTATATGCATGTTTGCCTTATGTAATTTCAATTGTATTTAGATAGTTTCGTAACAATTTAGTGCTTTAAGTCCATGAATTTTTAAGAATGATCCATGATTTAGGAGGCTGTATTGTTGAAATTTGTGATAATTACATGCTGTGTTTTTTAGTGCGGATCAGGGTTTTAAAAAATGGTCCGCGACTGCGATTTCGCAGTTTCGCCCTCGGCCGAGTTACCCGCGACGTCCGCAATCACGGTAAATCCGAAATAACCGAAAATGCGACCGCGACTGCGATTTGAAACCCTGGTGTGGATCGTTGATTCAAATTTGATTGGGAAAGTATTAGCCTTACTCGATATATTAGGTTGTTATTGTATCGATATTTGCATAGTTTTAGTGTTATAAGACATCAGTATATGCCTTTGGTTAGTTATGAATTAGCAAATAGTGGTCAATATATAGTTTGGTCTATAAGCTCTCTTTCTATTGTGCGCTAGGGAGAATTGTTGTGTTTAGATTGTATCGTTGTTGTCACATTTTTGTATCTATTATGTAAGATTGAAATGTGGCCTGTTTCTATCGATATGAATTTTTTTGGGAAATATATTATGATTAACAAATAGTCTGGTGTTTAGAAGCCTTTGCTATACTATATGCACACTTGCTATCATTTGGGCTGGTATATATGGTGTTGAGTTGAAAATGGAGTTGTGTTAATATGCTGTCAATGGGTTGTGTGCCCTTTTACTCGTTGAGTTGGAAACTATATATGTTGTTCATCGTAGGGGGATCCCTGATGATGGATCACTGATGGACACCATTGCATTTACCAAAACTAGACATTGTTTTTTCTATTAATTTTCTGCTATTGAGTGTCGATTTCCAAGATGACATTGTTTTTTCTATTAATTTTCTGCTATTGAGTGTCGATTTCCAAGATGACCAAGTAGATCTTTTGTTAATGGGCTAGACAACAAAAACGCCTTAGACCCTTTCGGGAGAGGAAAAAAGTGAATTTGATTAGGCACACACCTGGTGCACCTAGGTGACTTTAAGGAAGAAAGTGTGTGGTATTGAACTCTCTACTTCTTAATAATTGAGTATTCAACCATAGATACGGGGTCATAAGGAAATTAGGCATATTGACCAAAACAAATTGCATGTGCTTGTACATAAACTGGACTACTTTTTTAGTATATTTTATAATCATATATTTTAAGCTTATATTATACATACTGTAGATAACTAAACAAAAAGACGAGAATTTTTCTGTTGAAGAGAAGCTTCATTCTCTTATCTTTTCTTAGTCGAATATCGAAGGTTAGGCATATTGAAATATGCAGTTCACAACAGCAGTAGAGACGTCCTAATGTAAATACAATCTTAGAGTCCTATTAGGTGTAAACCTACTTAGACAGAAGTCTATCTAAACTTCTACTTAGATAAGACATAGAGTACAAGTTTAATAAGTAGAATACTAATTACAAAGTCTCTAAGACTTATACAGTTACATTCTACACATTAGTATATTTACACACAGACACGCTATACGTTACCCAAAATCATCACACCTGAGTCCAAGCAAGAAAAACAAGTATTCATATTATTGTTGTTAATTAATTGTGGTTTAAACTTTATTTGCATTTCTAGGCTGTCACTCGAGTAAAGCCATATATATGTACCATGCCACTGAGATTGGATGAGGGCTGGAATCAAATTCAGTTGAATCTGGCTGATTATACACGAAGGGCCTATGGCACCAATTATGTTGAGACTCTGCGTCTTCAGGTACATGCAAATTGCCGACTACGTAGGATATATTTCTCTGATCGCTTGTATTCAGAAGAGGAGCTACCACCGGAATTCAAGCTATACCTCCCAATTCAGGTAAGAACAAAATGTAATTTCATCGACTTGGAAGTTTAAGCTCATTCGAATTTTTTCGGTATCTTTTGTACTAATGATTATCCTTTTCTTGTATCGCAGAAGGCGTGAAATGTTCCATTGGAACGGTTTGAAGCCATAATTTCCCAACCCTCGTTCTTCATGATTTAAAAATGTTTTAGCATTCATCAGTTTAATTATGTATGTATAGTTGCTATAATAGTATTAGAATTAGCCGATGGTACATTGAGAAGCTGCTTGGTGTTGCACTTGATAATGGTGGATCTTTACTTGGATGATCTCAACTAGAGTGTTCATAGGCTTGGTCTGAAGTTTGAACTGAAGAAGCCTTTTATTATTTGAAAGTCATTTTATATCAACATTAATATAGTTTTATAATTAAATTTAAATTTATTATTAAAATGGTAATTCGGGTTGGCCTAAATTAGAAATTTCTTGCCAAAAGCCTTGGGTTTGTTAGGTTAGATTGATGGGTAAATTATACAATTAGTCATCCAATTACCAGTTTGTTTTGAGTATTGAACTATTAAAAATATCCAATTTTGTCTCTAATGTTATCAATTATTTTTGTTTTGGTCACCTTTGTTTAGGATGGCAATGTGACGGCTTGGATTTTTTTGTCATCCCTACTCAAAATTTAGGAGTCTCCATCCAATTTCAATATGATATCGATTTTTACATAATTTAATTTGACTTGACCTCGAATCGAGATAGAAAATGCATAACTTAATCCAATCGTATTTTTTAACAAAAAATCGACTTACTTTGACACAATTTTTTAATAAAAAGTTAATTATATTAGTTAATATACTATAAAAAAATTATTTTAAAAATAAGAAAAAAGTATTTTATTAAATATATCTAGGTGGGAAGAGTTTCACCCAAGTCCAATCTTGACTTTTTAAAAATTTTAACAGAAAATTCGTCTCGATATTTGAATTAAGTCTCATCCACCAAAATCAAATATACGACATAAGTCAGCCCATATTAGTCAATGTGAAACATTGGAACTGGAGAGCAACCAAAAAAAAATATCCCACTTGATCAAGTTTGATTTGGTCGAAATTAGTTGTGATTGAAAAAGATCACCATCCCTATTCTTGTTAAATCTTTAACAAAATTGAGGATATGATTTTCTAATTGATATATTTATTTATATATTATATTAACTAAGCTTAATTTTAAATAATATAATAAATTTCATTTTTATTATATTAATATATTCATTTTAAATGATTTTATAAATTTAACCTTCAATAATTATAAATTTTAATATTATAAATTTTATAAATTGAATAATAATTTAATTTTTATTCATTTTTTAAAATATTTTTATTTTCGATATTCTTTTAGGTTAGAATGGTTTTTTAGATAGAAAATGTTAGTTGATTAAATATTAATTCTTCTTACTAACTAAGATGAGTTTTTGACATATATTATCATACGTGATTAATTGATCATGTAATATTAATTTAATAAAAATAATTATTTATAATTAATTTAATTAAAAAAATTATTGACGTTATATTATGTCATGCCATCAATTAATTACATATGATGAAGGATGGGCTGAGGGGAGTTGACGAGAGCGATCACCCCTAAGAAAATTACAAATTATCATATAATTTAAGTGTTGTTTTTGTATTTATTATTGACAATTTTCTTTTGTCCTCCTAAAATCTTATTGTTTCATCCTTTAACATGAAATGTTGCGTCCGTCTATTATATGCCACATCAATATTTCATCTCACATGAATTTTTCTAACTGATAAATAAACATGAACTATTAATTAACTAACAATTTTTATCTAAAAAGTCATTTTGACTTAAAATAAAAATATTAAGGGTGAAATTATTTCAAAAAAGAAACCAAAGTGATCATTTGATCAACCGTTGAAAGTGACTTTTGACATGCCATTTTTTATATCAATAACGTGTTCGAAGATTATATTAATAAACTTTATAAATATAAAAAATAAAATTTATTAATGCTAGGATTATTGAAGCTGTAATGATTAATAGAAAATGTGTCAAGAGGGGTCGAATTAACATTTTAAAAATTTTGGGTGTGGAAAGAAAAATGATAGGAAAATTTGTACAATGATTTAGAGTGATTTGACTTTATCAACCAACTTCTACATCCACTACCTTAGCTTCACACTAAGTATTTCTAACAAATTCACTAATTTGTTTTTTTTAGGATCAAGAGTAACATTTACAAATTCCTATCTTTTCAAAGGCTAAGATAGAACCACTCTATTTGTTTTTAAAAGGATAAAAGTGTAAACAAGAAAACCTCACAAGGTAAGAGAAAATGAAAAGTAAAGAGTGAAAGGGCTTTCTCTTGATCTGTATTGCTTGGATAGATGTTGTAAAACTCTTCAAGTATTTTTTATTTGTTTTTATATGATGAAATTAGTTGTTAATCGTTTTTAGCCGTTAAGTTGATTTGGAGCCGCTGGAGAATTAATTTGTTACGAGATAAAATTGTCCAGTACAAGAAATATCGATATTTAAGTTTAAAGCATTAGTACTTCCTTTGTTATATTTAAGATTAAATTAATATAATATATAAATATCGTACTATATTAATTCAAAACTTTATATATGACAATATTGACGTAAACTGTGGTGTGAACCTCGTCCGACGGGAGGAGGTTTTTAAACATGTGGACCTTGGTGGCTTGGGTATTCGTCAACTTTGCCTACACAACATCATATATTATCAAATCTGGTATATTATTTCAAAATATGGTGGAATTCCTCGGGTACATATCTTATTTTCGTTGATTTGCAAAGATCACCCTATGATAAATGTTGAGAGGGTTAGGCATCATTTTTCCAATGATTCTAGTCGTCGTATGTGTGGTGCTCCAAGCGGAACTACTTCACACATATTCCTTGTTCGATTAGTGTGGAATGAAGTGGTTAAAGTGGATAAATTAGACGAGTTCCTCAACATGAAGATGAAGGATTGGATTGGTAAAAATATTCATCACCCTGCATATTTTTCAATATTGAACGAGGATCGGAAATTGAGGTTTGGTGCATTCGTATAATAGCCCATTTTTTTCAGGACACTTTTCAAAGCCCAAAATCATGAGCAGAGAAGCTAAAAATCTCTTGGCCTAGTCCACCACTACCCAAACATGACTCATGCAGTTTTCTCCTCTATCCATTCTCAATTACAGCGGCCATACCTAAGCCCCATAAACCACAACCATCGCCCCCCAAACAAAATCAACAATATAACTCAACCAACATCAATATTTAGCAACCAACAGTGGAGAACAAAACCAAAAGGGAAAGGAGAACCTTATCGACAATCATACCCATTTCCCAAAAACCGGAGAGGAACGGCCATTCCGAATGGTGGAGAAGGAGAAGGCAACACGCTAAGTAACATACCTTCTTTTGGGCTCCATCCAACGATGAAAAATGAAGATTGAAAAGAAGGAAGTCGAAGGGTTTTTGGCCATTTCGTGAAAAGTGAAACAGATTCCTGCGAAATCGACCCCGGATCTGTGATGCCGATATCGAGACGAAGCTCTCCGTAAAATTAGGGGTCGAATATTAATCGATGGATAGCGGAGCAGCGACGAAGAGATCACCGATTTTTGGGTTCATCAAGAACACCATTAATATCCTTAGAGGATTTCATTTGATTAAAAAATTTAAAAAGACTAAAGTGAAGTGTTGTACAATTTTGTTTGCACTTATTTTCATTCGGGACTATTTTAAATTCCTTTAATTAGACTATTATTATTAATTTTTATTAATATGTATTATTTTTTACAGTTCCAAATAAATGTCTATGTTTGACTTATCCATGCTGTAAGACATTCGATTTTGTCCGGGTTTTACATATTATTATTATTATTATTTACATTTTTACAGGCCCTCAACCCGAAGCCCAAATGCAAGTTCCCAAGCACATTACAAACAGTACAACCCAATTATAAGACCCAAGCACCAGGCCCAGCTGATCCGACCTGAGCCAGGATCCTACCTGAGCCTAATAAGAGAACTCAGTTAGGGTTTCATCTCAACAGCCAGCCGCCGCTAGTGAAGAGCAAGTGTCCATTGTCGGAGCGTGTGGTACACACGCCTGTCGTTTCAACACCCAAACTGGCGCGTGGATCTCACAGCTCACATTCCTCGTTGCGTGAACCGATGTCGATCACTCCTATGCTGCCGTCGTCACCAAACTTGTCAAACAGTACCCAAAGCAGTACCCAACAATCAACAAAATATACCAAATAAGAAAACCTAAACCCAAAATCTCAAAATTTCACCTACTGAATCAAAAACCCATTCTCCTACGCAAAGATATCATCATTATCTACCCAAACCATCCCCATTTTTATAACATGCAACCAGAAAGCGAAAAAATTTAGTGGATTCGAGAGGGGAAAACCCATTTGAAAAAACAGAGAATAAAAAAACAAACAAGGAATTGATACCTTTCGGAGCCATTACCGCCGTTGCTTCATCGGATCAGGGGCCTTTTTGTTTCAAAGGCAAAGGTTTGTTTTTTTTCTTGGTTGTGGGTGGGTGGCTCGGTTTTTAGGATCGTTTTAGAGGGAAGGGGAGTAGAAAGAGAGAAAAGAGATAGGCTTTTGGGTGTTTGAGTCCCCATGGCCACCGATCCACGGTGACTGGGGTTGTTGTTTTTCTCTTTGACAGTGGGGGAGAGAGGGAAAGTGGAAAGGAAACGGGAAGAGAGGCAGGGGAGGGGGTTTAGAAATGAGTTAGGGTTTCGAAGAAAACCCTTTAGACGATTTTATATCCCAATCTCAATGCGACACTGTTTTGGTCTCTCTTAGCCCGCGTGTTCTGGTTTTTTGGGGATAATTGCGTGTTTCGGTTTATAAGCCTTATATTTCTGGTGTGAATGAAAAATTAATTCATTTTATTTTGAGCTACTTAATATTATTTTAGTTCATTTTTGTCCCTATTTGGTTATTGATGTATCTTTGATAATTTTTTATTTGGTTAGGCATTTTTATTAACTTTCATTTTAGTCCCTAGTTGTTGCTACGTTACTTTTATTGTTATTTTAATTTGAACAGTAATTTATGATACTTTCATTTTTGCCACTAGATTTTTGGGTTAATAACGATTTAGATACCTAGATCTTTACCATGTTTTTACATTATAGTCACCAGAAGGCTCATGTTCTTTGTTTGTTTTGATGTTTCTGTTTTATTTTGTTTCAATTTGATCACCATGTGTGCTGTTCTGTTTATTTTGAAATTGGCCACTGATTTATTATGTTTCATTC